GGATTCATGAAATAAACCTGTATACATCAACTTTACACACAGAACAATCTCAAAAATAAAATTGAAAACAAAGACATGGTAAAAGATGGATAGCAAAAAGCCTATCCAAAAAGAGAGCCAGCCTGGCTCTCTTAAACACCAGGCTAGGAACATGGAGACAATGAGTTCTAGTCCTACCTTGGGCATGAAAGCTAGCTGGGTGTCTTTGAGCCAGTCGCTGTTTCTCAGCCCAATCCTACCTCACAGGATTGTTGGTTGGGGAAAATAGAAGAAGGAGTATTAGGCATATTCATCACCTTATTTATAGAAATAATAAAGGTGAGATTAAAATAAATTAAATCTACCGTTTCCGCAAAAATAAGCATGTTTTATGCATGCAGCTAATATAAGCCGTACCCAAAAATAAACCCTATTTAAGAGCCTGCGCAGCCACCCAGCCATACATTCCATCTGGTTGGTCGCAGTGCTGCAGCCATGAGGCGAGGCGGTGAGGTGGAGCTGCCCCATGTACCCTGCACCAGTTTACCTCTGAATGCACACATCTAGGCCATCCACGCACGACACCTGCCACGCAGTGACAGCACCAACAGCCATGTGCAGCGGGAGCCCATGTAGCTGCCAGCCTGCTTCTTCTGCTCACGGCCGCAATGGAGCAGGAGGCCAAGCAGCATGCCAGAATTGCCACCGCTATGAGGTGAGGCAAGTGTCAGGGCATGGGTGACCTGGCTGCGGGGGCCCTGAGGGAAGCCAATGCAGGGCCCATGGGGCAGCTCCACCCCACCTCGTGACAATGGCACTGGTGCACCATGAAGCCTCCTGCTCTGCCATGAGCAAATAGAAGAAGTGGGCCTCCCATACATGGAAAAAAATTAAGACACCTCTGAAAATAAGTCCTAGTGCTTATTTTGGGACCAAAAACAAAATAAGACCTGGTGCTATTTTCGGGGAAACATGGATATAACAAGAAAATTGATAAATAAATAAATGATACCAAAATGGTCCATTTCTCAGAGAGCACCAACCTCATATAACTTGAAATATAAGTGAAAGTTTGAATCATGCTATGCTTCATCAATAAGCCAATGATTATTAAATATATAAGAATTATGCCACATATGAATTAAAAACATTTATTTCAAAAGTGAATTCACCTCACTTTAGCTAAAACCTGAGATATTCCATTTATCTGACTGTGAAACCATTAGTGCATAACTATTTCACACTCCAAATCAACTGAGTTCATATGCTAACTGTAAAATGCACAATGGATTCTGGCAGATTTAAACATCAACAGCATGACCTCAAGTTGAGAAATGTGTGTGGGGGCATGCGTTTGTGCGTATGTGTATATATAAATTTAATTATCCCAGATCTTCTTTTTAAAAGTATTAAAGGATATAACACAATTGTTTAAAATGCAAAATAAATGAAGTCGAGATCAAGATAACCAATCTAATACTTCTCCAACTCAAGACGCATTTCCATCTCCAGAATTCCCTTACTGAAACTGCCATTGCTAGCGCCCAAGCTAGGGAAGGCTTCATTTTCTGGACTAAAACTACATTAAGCAGAACTAAGGATTAATAGTCTAAAGTAGCGGTTCCCAACCTCTCTTGCTCCATAGAACAGCAGCAGCAACAGGAACAGGGATAGTTTCATGCGTGCAACCTAGCTCCCGCATATGTGCAAATGAAGCTTGCCCATCGCTTTGCAGATTGGTACTGCGGGTCAAGGATTGAGGACCCCTGCTCTAATATATCGGAAAAGGATGCAAACTTTATGTATTGATATCTGTCCATGACCCATTGGGAATCAGTCCATGCAAGCGGTAGGCAAGTTTCATTTGCATATACACTGGAGCTAGGTCATGCTGTTGATGTTTAAATCTGCCAAAATTTAGCCTTGGGGTTGGGACCCCTGGTCTAAAGCATCACTGCCTTTAGAGTAAAACTGCCTGATTCTATTTTATACCAAAAGATTCAACACATGCAAACCTTTACATCAAAATATTACATTATATGTGTAAGATTTAGTGGATGCATCTGTTTCACTAATCAATTAAAAAAACCTGAATAAAACAGCATCATAGACTAATCGGACAACATATTTTATTTATCTTAAGATCTGTGAATATACAAACTACACTTGGCATTCTTCCATTTCTCATAAATGAGAAATGATAATGTACATATTTACTTATCAAGTGTGGTGATTTCAAATGTATTATTTATATTTAAATTTATTAATATTTCAATCAGGAATTATATTGATATTTCTCACTGAACATGTATTTAAATAGCCCTACTATTAATAAACTTTCATTTTTTCTGGAAATATTTTATGTTTATGAGAGAAACAGCATACCGGGCAAGTATGTATAATATTGGATAACATACTTAAATATTTAAATGCGAAATAATTTCCTTCATTATTAACAGCAATTAATGTTAATATAGTTTTACAAAATTCTAAATACTGAAAACAAATTTAGATTCAGATCCTTTGCTTCATCACAATTCAGAATTAAAATACTTGGTTGCTTAAAAATAAAAACTGCAAGTTATGCCAGAAAATGTATTCATTATTAAAGAATTATTAAAGAATAAAGTGAGGCAGGAGAAAAATATCTCTATTTCACCACAAAACAGCCAGAGCTGTTGGAGAAAATTATATATCCGCTTCCACCTAGATTACTTCCTGAAAATATCCTGTATACATATCCTGATCCAAATTAATTCCATAAGGAAACATGAACCTTGATATAGCTTTATCAAAACTGTTTTTATTATTGTAACCAGTTAAAGAATGGCCAATCTTTTTTTATGACCAAGTGCCACATTTGATATTTTCCATCTCCAAATGCTATAAGGTGTGTAATAATCACTAAAGATTGTGCAAAAATCCCTCGAGGTTCTTTTTCCTTAGATGGTATTAAAAATAAGAGCACTATTCCAATAACACACCTGTTTCGTTGCACAGGTTTTTGTAAACTCCCTTTTTTAATGGGCTGAACTGCATTGCTGTAACTGCAGTATCACAATCTTGGACTTCTCTGGATGTGACCAACTCGTATTTAATTCAAACATGTTTAAAAGCAGTATGTTAACCAAAGTATTATGTCACAGTATGACTTGTTTGATTTTGGCTTCAGCATGAAAAATGAATTTATCCATTATGGCTTAGTTTTGGATGCAAATCAGATACAATATTAACATTAAAAAACCTGACTTGTTGAAAATTATAAATTCAGGCATATGATTATCCAAGGGGCAATCATAGCACCCTTGAAATGTACCGATTTGAAATCCTAGCATTCCCAAAAATTACCATTTTGGCTGGGAAATTTCTTAATGAGTCACCTCAGGACTAAAGATCTCTGGACTAAGAAAGGCTTATATATAGTACTGAGGGTCAGATTCTGACTACATTCACAGTCTGCATAAACTACTACACAGATTATAATTTAAGGCAATAGGAACTGTTTCTGAATAGACAAGTTGTGTGGCATGCAACTGTCATTTCAAATGAAATTACCATAAAAAACAATGTCACATTTCTCCATCATAACTGACAGAAAAAGGAACAAGTTTACATTTTTTGTGGTCAGGTTTAACTTTCTCCCATCAATAAACTGGTTGAACACTTTCAGAATTGAAAACTGATATACTATGCTATTAATGTGATGTAGAATGTCAAGTTTTGAGAAAGAAATTGTAATTCTTCACGGGCTCTCATCACATGGAAGAATTGCCAAAATATACAATATTCTACAATTTAAAGGCATCAAAGATTGTATGATTTTTATACAAGCAAGCTAATTGTTAGCAGTGCTTTTAAAAAACTGAAATACAATCTAGATTTTAAATTAGGATTGGGTAGAATGTAATCTTTAATTCAAACCTGTGTAACTAGTAATTCACCAAGTCAACAGTTTACCTGAGGGTTCATAAACATGTTGTGCCTACTGCATGAAACTTCAAAAACAAAGAGAGGGCTATCACACATGTTAGTGTATTGATTGTCTGGCTTGCAGTTACATATTTAGTTTTTTGCAGGTCAGCCTCTTCAAACAAAAATAAGATCAGAAAATAAGGGAAGACTATTCAGTTGAATTTTTTCAGAAATCTTTAATAGCCAGTACTAAGGCCATTTATTTTAATGAAATAAAATATCTGTAAGTATGTTGGTAATCATTGCATTGGAGAGCCACTCTCAAAAGAAAGGAAGTAGCTTATTTAAAGTTTTGTTGCATGTCACTGCTTTGAAATAGAACTAGCCATAACCACAATATCTTTAAAATAAATGTTTTATCCAAAATTTTCTGACAGTAGGAAAAATAGAATTATATAAAGTTGTATTACTAAAGTATTCAGTGCCATATGCATCATGATTTATACACTGAAAAGTTGTTTCATCACAAAATCTCAATTATATGTCAAATATGAAACAGTGACATCTAAAAATGTGCAGAACGCAGGCCTCAACTTTGGAAAGTATTGCACCACCAAATGAAAATTTTATTCTAAATGCAAAATCCTTAAACTGTTCATAATATAACATTTCTTCTTACTTACCATACATGAAATAGAATCTAATGCAAATAAAATAATGTATTTGTTGCCTAATCATTTAAAAGCTCATGAAATGAACCAAATACATAATTCCAGATGTCTCTGCAAAATCCAATCTTTAAAAAGTACCCAAAATGTGTACAGAATTATACCATTGCCACTTCTGTACACTAAAAACCTGTAGTAACATACCATGGAATATACTGGAAAGCAAGAAGTCTTTTTTCCCCTAGATGGAAGCTATAGGATAGGCCTAATCAAGGAATGGGTGGAGAAAAAAATAGAAGGAAGCCGAAAAGACGTTACAAATCTGACAATTCTGAATGTACAGAAACAAAAACAAAAAAATATTCTTAAAGGTAAAAACCACATGCTTCCTTTTGGGAGAGTTGATGTAAAAAAGGACACAGGATGGAAATCAATACTCACTGCTAACTTTCATGCTGCCAAAGGCTGAAGGCTGCTGCACCGGTTTGCAGCTTTCTGCAAAGGAGGTGGTTCTCGGGCGCCCTGACATGGTTGTTAGCTGTTAGCTTTTCTTCCCTATCGGACCGACTTTCTCCTCCTCTGGTTTCTCTTCCTTTTCTCTGCTCCGTTTCGTCCTCTCAGCGAAGAGAAGAAAAGCAGAGTGTAAAGATCGGGGCTCCCACCCTGAAAGGAGGGCGCCCCCCTTTTTTAGTCTCTCCCAGCCCCTTTTCCGCTTCGCTTTATCGCAAGCAGGCCACCACCATCCTCTTCATTCCTAGTAGCAGTAGCAGCGCCTGGGCTCGCGGCCGCCTCCGCCCAGCCCTACAATCCAGTCACTCCCCGCCCCTTTCTGATGTGAGAGGCAGGAAAGAGAAGCAGCACCGCTCGGCTTTCCGATGCTACGCCTTTCTTCCTCGCTCGCCTTCCTTCCTTCCTAGCTAGCGAGTCAGTCACGTGAGAAGGCGACGGCCAGGAGAGGTGGTGGTTTTTTTTTTTCTTTTTCCCCTCCTCGGGGTGGGGGCGCTGGGGAGAGACAGAGAAGGGACGGACTATTTCCCGGCGGAGGAATATGACGCGAGGGATGGCGCGTCCGCTGGCGAAAAGAATCTGACAGACTGGCGGCCAAACCGCCGGGGCCGTGAGGAGAGGCGGCGGGGGCAGGAAGGGCGCGGGGGAGGGGCGGCCTGAGGAGCGGGCTCCTTCCTTCCTGCCTACCTGCCTCGTCACTCCGTCTCTCGCTCGACAACGCGGGGGCCGAGTGCCGCCGGAGTTCTCCTCATAGCGCCCGTGGGGCGGGCAAATCGCGTCCGGAGAGGTGGCTCAGGCGGGCGGCGCTGCAGTGCAGTTGGAGGACGGCGGGGTGGTCCATGGTGGTGGTGGTGGTGGTGCTGCTGCTGAAAGCGGCAGATCCTCCCGACTCAGCCGGCTGCGACGTTGCTGGCGGTGGGTCTCGCTTGGCCCCGCCTCCGCCACCCCTTCGCTCGGGTTCCTTTGTCCGCTACGCGCTCACGGGGCCGTTGCGGCTTCTTTTCTCTCGGTTGCTGTTGATACGGCCACAAGGTTCTAACTCCTTGCTCCGCTTACGCGCCCCTACGGAGTAGTCTTCGGGAATACGGAACCGACCGCCCCATTTCTCCGGACTCGGAAAGAGCCGCTGCGCTCTCGTCGGTGTTACGCACGCGTTCCCCTCAAAGCCGAGTTACGCAGCCTTGCTTAGCGTCTTCCGTGGATGCCGAGCCGAACACCCGAACGGTCTCCGAGCCGAACAGCCTGGGATGAAAATCCAATCAGGAGAAAGTGAACGCACAGAGCCCTCCCTTCTAGCACTACATCGGGACCAATCGCCTCCGGTGGAAAAGAAGCATCCGCGCTATATAAGCAGCCAATGACAGAAGAGCTACGAAAATAATCGGGCCGCGCATTCTTTCCTTTCTGGGATCCAATGACGAACCTCGGGGCCTGAATTGTCACCGCCGCAGAACCAATGGGACTCGGGGATACTTCCCACGGCATTGGGGCGAACCCGGAGAAGAGGCTGATGCGAAATGGGCGGGGCTTCAACGGGAACTTCTCTGGCGTTCCAAGGGTGTTGGGGGATCGTCTGGTGGGCGCCACAGGCGGGACGGAGGTCTTCCGTGGCCCCGAAAGCACGTCTGTAACTCGGGTTTTCTCCTGGTGCCCTCTGTCGCCTGCTCCGGTGGGGAGGTTGGCTGAGGCAAATGTGCCGGTACCGCTTAGGGTGCGCGTTAAAGCGCAGCCGTCGCCCTGCGCGCTGATAACCGAGTTAGTCTTAGTCATGCCGCGGTTTGAGGGGAGAAGGGAAGTTCCACCAGGACTCAAGGTGGGTCTGCTTAGCTACACAGTTTGCTCTCCACGATTACTTGCCCGATGCTGCCGAAGAAGGAATGTGGACACCAGCTCTCTCTCCTATAGTTTACCTCTTGCACTTACCTTCCCTCGAGGGAACGATGCCTCTAAATGTTAACCTTAAAAATCACAAGTATTGATGTGTTGACTCTTTGAGAAGGCTGTACTTTGAGTAGCTGCACTGTCTAGAGATTCTGGGCATTGCCCAGAAACTTCTCATGCCAGGTCAGCATTGGTTTGCCAAGAACAAGTCTTGCCAAGCTAACCTTATCTCACTTTTGATCCAGGGCATGACATCTAACAATACCTCAGAAGCTTAGATTAGTAAAATACATAATTATGACTTTGATATAGTGGATACTGCTGTTGGCTGAAGACTCTTGAAACGCATTCCTTAGTTAATCAAACTGAAAGAAGATAGGGAGTGGTGTGTTGTAGCTTTCTGTTCCATTCACATTTTTATTAATGAGGTGAAAGAATAGCTGTGAAATACATAATACAAAATTGAATGGGATAAAGCTTGGAATTGTGGTTGACAAGGATTTGAATCAGTCAACAGTATAACATTACTGCAAATGAACTGTAATTTTATACTGCATTAATACAAATATAATTGGCAAATCACAGGGAGTTACTCTGCCTTTTGCATTGATCATGTCATGCCTTATAGAAATATTTCTACTCTTCAGCATAGTAGTACAACTTTACAGAATGGCAACAAAGTTGATCAAGCAATTGGAAACTAAGCTCTCTAAGAAAGGCACCAGGCTAAAAACATGGAGACAGTTGTAGTTCCATCTTAGGCAAGAAAGTTGGCTGGTGACTTTGAACTAGTCACTCTTTCTCAGCCCAGTTCACCTTTTATAGAACAGAGCTGGAAGGGACCTTGGAGGTCTTCTAGTCTAGCTCTCTGCTTAAGCAAGAACCTATGTTACAGGTGAAACTCAAAAAATTAGAATATCGTGCAAAAGTTCATTTATTTCAGTAATGCAACTTAAAAGGTGAAACTAATATATGAGATAGACTCATTACATGCAAAGCAAGATAGTTCAAGCCGTGATTTGTCATAATTGAGATGACTATGGCTTACAGTTCATGAAAACCCCAAATCCACAATCTCAGAAAATTAGAATATTACATGCAATCAATAAAACAAGGATTGTACATAGAACAATATCGGACCTCTGAAATGTATGAGCATGCATATGTACTCAGTACTTGGTTTGGGCCCCTTTTGCAGCAATTACTGCCTCAATGTGGCGTGGCATGGAAGCTATCAGCCTGTGGCACTGCTGAGGTGTTATGGAAGACCAGGATGCTTCAATAGCGGCCTTTAGCTCTTCTGCATTGTTCGGTCTCATGTCTCTCATCTTTCTCTTGGCAATGCCCCATAGATTGTCTATGGGGTTCAGGTCAGGCGAGTTTGCTGGCCAATCAAGCACAGTAATCCCACGGTCATTGAACCAGGTTTTGGTGCTTTTGGCAGTGTGGGCAGGTGCCAAGTCCTGCTGGAAAATGAAGTCAGCATCCATAAAACTCATCTGCAGAAGGAAGCATGAAGTGCTCCAAAATCTCCTGGTAGACGGCTGCGTTGACGCTGGACCTAATGAAGCACAGTGGACCAACACCAGCAGATGACATGGCTCCCCAAATCAACACAGACTGGAAACTTCACACTGGACTTCAAGCATGTTGCAGTGTGTTCCTCTCCATTCTTCCTCCAGACTCTGGGTCCTTGGTTTCCAAATGAGATGCAAAAGTTGCTCTCATCAGAAAAGAGGACTGTGGACCACTGAGCAACAGACCAGTTCTGTTTTTCTTTAGCCCAGGTAAGACGCTTCTGACGTTTGTTGTTCAGGAGCGGCTTGACAAGAGGAATACGGCATTTGAAGCCCATGTCCAGGATCCGTCTGTGTGTGGTGGCTCTTGATGCACTGACTCCAGCTTCAGTCCACTCCTCGTGAAAGTCCCCAACACTTTTGAATGGCCTTTTCCTGACAATCCTCTCTATGCTGCGGTCATCCCTGCTGCTTGTGCACCTTTTTCTTCCACACTTTTCCCTTCCACATAACTTTCTATTAATGTGCTTTGATACAGCACTTTGGGAATACCCAACTTCTTTTGCAATTACCTTTTGAGGCTTTCCCTCCTTATGGAGGGTGTCAATGATGGTTTTCTGCACAACTGTCAGGTCAGCAGTCTTTCCCATGATTGTGATTCCTACTGAACCAGACTGAGAGACCATTTAAAGGCTCAGGAACCCTTTGCAGGTGTTATGGCTTAATTGGCTGATTACAGTGGGACACTTTGAGCCTAGAATATTGAACCTTTTCACAATATTCTAATTTTCTGAGATTGTGGATTTGGAGTTTTCATGAGCTGTAAGCCATAATCATCTCAATTATGACACATCACAGCTTGAATTATCTTGCTTTGCATGTAATGAGTCTATCTCATATATTAGGTTCGCCTTTTAAGTTGTATCACTGAAATAAATGAACTTTTGCACGATATTCTAATTTTTTGAGTTTCACCTGTATTTCAGATAAGTGACTGCCTAGTATCTTAAAAAAAACCCAGTGATGGAGCACCCACAATTTCTGAAGGCAAGCTAGTTAATTGTCCTCACTGTTAGGAAGTTTCTCCTTAATTCCAGGTTGCTTCTCTCTTTGGGTAGTTTCCATCCACTATTTCTTTCCTATCCTCTGGTGATAACACTAATTCTAACAAATCAGAATAATTTGACCACCTCTTCTTTGTGGCAGTCTCTCAAATACTGAAATACTGCTATCATGTCCCCCCAATTCTTTTTTTCTTTAGACTAGCCAGACCCCAAATCTGCAGCCATTCTTCATATCTTTTAGTCTCCAGGCCTTTGATCATCTTAGTTCAGGGATATCAAACTCAAGGCCTGCAGGCAGGATCCGGCATGTAAGGTGCTTAGATCTGGCCCATGGGGCTGCCCTGGAAACAGTGAAGGACAGGCCCATGGTGCCTCTGCTAGCTTACTCCTCTCCATGTGGATGTAGTACCATTAAGGACTACTCATTGAGTAAGGTTTATCAGCCATCTACAAATCCATCTATTCCACATTTTTCTAGCTTACCAAAAGTAGGTTGTTGTCTACTTTTGTCAAATGCCTTGCTGAAATCTAAGTATACTATGTCCACAGCATTTCGCTAATCTTCTAATTTAGTCACTTCATCAAAGAATAAAATAAGATTGGTTTGGCATGATCAGTTTTAACAAGCCCATGCTGGCTGCTAGTTATAACTTTATTTGCTTCTAGTTATTTGTAGATCTGTTTCTTGATTATTTTTTCCAGAATCTTCCCAGGTATTGATGTTAGACTGATTGGTCTGTAGTTTCCTGGGTCTGTTTTTTCCTTTCTTGAAGATGGGAACCACATCAGCCCTTTTCAAATCCTCAAGTACTTCCCCGATGCTCCAGGGTTTTTGAAAGATATAGTAGAATGGTTCTGATGGCATCTGCCAGCTCCTTCAGAACTCTGGGATATAATCTGTCAGGTCCTGAAGATTTATATTCAAGATTAGATAGGTGTTCTCTTACCATTTTCTTGCTTATTTTAATTTTTATTTCTAGTTTGTTTTTTACAGTAATTTTTTGGTACATTGAGATATAATTTCTTTTTGTGTGAAGACTGATGATTCTCTCCCTGCCCACCAATGCTCACCAAAAGAGCTGAACGCCACTGTTCATATTACAGCACTGATCTCCTCCTCAGGTGCACAAGAAAGTGCATATCTAGACTATGGAATGCTGTCTTTGTGCTTTGTACATTTGTGGGGCAGTATGTATGTGTATGTTATAA